CCGGTCCCTACCCACCAAAACCCCACGCACCCTCCCAAAGGACAGATATACGGAACTCACTCATAGTAAGGCTCCGAAGTTTGAGGAGCTATCAATTGGAGGTTGCAAGGGATGCAAGGGTAAGCGTAATCGTTCCAAGGCGCCACACCGTGGCATCAGTGCTTGCGCCAAAGGGCGCCTGCGGCCTGGCTACAGAGAGGTCTGTAGGCGACCGAGCACTTGCACCCAAGCGCCTGCGGCCTATAGGGGATCCCATAATAAAGGTTTCGTGTTAAGGGCCTCCTAAGGGATTCTGTGGATGCTTGAATCTGAAGGAATCTTGGTGTGGGGTTGAGGGTTCAGAGCGACTAGTAGGAGTTCGCCGCCTAATTTAATTACATAAGTTACATAGGGGTCTAGAGCCGGGGGGGTAAGGGTTCATAGGGTTCAGGGGCCGACGCCTCTCAAGCGCTGCAAAACCTTCGGGCCCAAACCACTGAACCCTGCAATAAACCCTCTATCATATGGGACAAACCCTAACAGACAAACAACCAACCCGTGCCTAAACCCTACACCAACCCCAAAAACTCTGAACGCTGCACCCTAAAAACACACCTGACCCTGAAACCTAAAGCCTGTAATCCCCCCACCCAAACCTTGAACCCGCAATGGAATCCCTAAAGGAGCCCTCATTCAGACAAAAACCACTGGAAGGAGCCCTTACGGGGAACCCCAACAATCACGATGGCCTTGCTCCTGCAGAACCTGAGCCGGAAACCGGCGTTTCCAGATTGAGGGGTTTATCCCCCACTACGGCTACGGCCTGGACTTGAAGGGTTTAGGGTTTGCGTAAACTTGGGGTTTAGGGTTTAGACTTGGGGCGTGGGGGTTTAGAGGTTGAGGATGTGATGTTTAAGGTTCACAGGGTTGCGGGCGTACGGCGTTTACTGTAAGGCTAAAGGTGGTGAGCCTTTGGGTGTGATTCAGGACTCCGGGTGTGGAATGTCGGGGAGTTTGGCCTCGGGACTTTATGTTTGGACCCTCATGGTTTGATACACGAAACCCATATGACTCTCAACCCATAATTACACCTTGCTTGTCGTCAAAAACAACCCAAAGACCCGAAGCCCTTGTAATCCTTAAACCCGCAAGCCCTTCCAATCCTGAAGCCCCAAACTCTATAGGCTTGTTGCTTGAAAGGCGAAACGGAGTAGCCCCAAATGCGTAAACACTTGGTATCAAAAGCATCGCAAAACCCAGACCCGGCGAAACACACAAAACCCTCAACCCCCTGAGCCTCGCAACGCGTCAGGGCCGTCACTGCCGGCTGCCGTGGGGAGCCGGGCCTCGTGTCAGGAACTGTAAAGGGGAGGGGTTGACCTAACAATCGCTGCATCAGCTCGCAAAAACTGCTGTGCATGGTCTCTTTTTGACACCTGCACTTTCCCATCATCGGGCCGCTGGGCTGCAGGGCATTTCTCCCGGCAGATGCGTCTTGAAGACGTCACCGACCTGGGAGGCACGGCGCCGATGGCCCAAAAGGGACGGCAATGACGGTGGTGCCGGCAGAGGTGCAGTGGGAGGAAGCATCTCCTTTGTAGTAGCCGGACAAAGCGTCCGGTGCTGTGGCAATGCAGCTTTTGAGGTCGAGGGAGGCTCCAGCAGCGGGTTGGGCACATGATGCGCTTGGCTCTGTGAGGGCATTGCAGTGTAGCCCTCCGCACCGGCAGGCTTTGCGCCGGTCATGAAATCCAACGCGTTCAGCACGGAGTTGTATGCTGAGATCATCCAATTCGTGCTGTCGAGCCTCGGCTCGAGACCGCAACACTTCCTTGGTCTCTGTTAGGAAGGAGAAGGAAAACGCAGAACTTAAACTATCGGAAAATCCAAACCACGATGAGCAAGTAGGATTCCGTCATCCTAACGCTGACCAAGCTTCGGGCAACGGCGATCGAAAAAGGATCCCAGGGCCTGCTCGCAGTGGCTGCAAGTTTCTGGTGCTGACTCATGGTAACCTTGGTTCCGGCGCGCCCCCTTGTTATGGGATTGCTTTTACCTGTTCTTCCCTGTTGACAGCTCCAAGGGAGACCCCACAGTACAAAGTTCAAAACTACTTGGGGGACCTAGCAACAGCTGCTGAAGAGTCCGCACCATTGAGCTGAACACTGCTCAAGGCAGTGCTCGCTGATTTCATTTCGGTCCTGAAAGAAGTGAGGCCAATTTCGGTGGGCAGTGCTGTCATCCGGAGGTGGCATCCCAGGTGGACAGTCAGTGTGCTGGCGGAGCAAATCGTCAGGCTTGCTTGGCACTCCCGGTGGGAATCTGGGGCTAAAACCTCCTGGCAAGCCCCGTCCGCCGTGCTCGGGCAATGGAGCTCCGATTTGCGTGGACGCTGGTGACCATTCCTGTCGGTCGAAGAAATACTCTGTGGGCGCAGGAGATAACACCCCCTGTCTGCCGTACTCGTACTCAGAAAGTTCGTGCGTAAAGGGTGCCAATCGGCCACCGTAGCTTTCTGTTGGTGCCGGGGAGCACGGCGACAAGGGGCCTTGTCTGCTGTAGTACTCGGACAATGTAAAGGATTCTGGTGCGCCCGGCATTTCTGCATACACGCGCAGGTTTGCCAAGGCCGCGAAAGCCGGCTCCTCCACTGGGGGAGTAGAGCTACATGGATCCGACATGTCATCGGCAAAGGTGCTATCAGGCCTGAAACCTTCCTTGTGACATGAGCTCGAAATTGCAGAGAGCTTGGTAGCCCCCTGGAAAGCATCTTCAATCACCGGCTCCGCAGCAGGAGGTGACACCTCCGCTGGCGGGTCGGGCCCATAAGGGTTGCTCCAGTGCACCTCGGAGCCATTCTCGGGCCGCTCTTGCGGCACAGTAGCGGACACATCCCAGAGCGAAGAACGTCGGTG